TTGAAATTTTAAAGATTATGTATTTATCTCTAAATCCAGTTTAAGTTTTAAAATGTTCATAATTATAGGGAAAGCTAGTTATGTAACTTGAGATCGAAGTGTTAGTCTCATGTCTGAGTCTCTCGAGGCTTATGTGGGGCCAGCAGGTGACGGAGTAAAGGCACTGGCCCCCCATTTGGCCGATCGTGGACTGAGACCCAGCCTGGTGGCTCGCCTTCTCACTTTCTCTCACTCTTGCTTACTCTGGTGAGTGCGTGTGCCCTACAGCAAATTAACAATAACCATAATAATAAACCGAAATCTTTTTTTTTTTTTTTAAGAGACTTATGTCTGTTTTAGGAGATTTTTCTTTGCTATGTCCACTATGGAAATTGGGTGTGGGGGGGGCTGATTTCTCTCAGGAACACTTTTTGTTAACCCTTTATTTCACTTGAAACGCGTGTCCATTGGAATCACATGCAGCTACGTCGATTGCTCACGTCCCTGAGTTCAGCATGGCTATACCTGAGAGTTACTGCCAGAATTTCTGCCCTTGAGGGCCCTGGCCCTACAGTGGGCTCCTCGCCCACACTCAGGGACAGCCCCTGTCACGATGGTGGTTTGAATTCAGAAAAACTGTCATTTGGGCAGGTAATCCGGGCGCCTTCATCAGGCCCAGTATCACAGACTAGCTTCTAGCCATCTGAATGTTGCCTGTTTTTACTGTTACTGGTTCTTATTTCTTTCTGCCTAGTATTTCATAACGTTTATGTCTTCCCCTTCGGTCATGCACACACATTTCCCACCTTGAGACCTCACAGTCATTGCAGGGTCTGTTCCTGTTAGTCACTCCTGCGTCTTTCACCTGCAGGCCTTCTCTCATTGCAGAGGTGACCCCACCCCCACCATCTGATTGGCATTCCAGCACAGGTTGATAAATGCATTCCCGCGTTCCCATGTCAATGATGGGTCAGTGGTAGGAAACCTGGGAAGTGTTAGTCTCCCCTGAAGTGTGGAATTGGGCTGGCGTGAAGGAGCGTGGAGACTAGGAGCTCTTGAAGTTAGATTAAAAGCAGCTTTCAGGCCCAGCCAGGGGTGTGGTGGTTAAAGTGGCTGGATTCCTACATGAGTGACTACGGTTCAAGTCCTGTAGCTGGTGACTTGAACACACCAGGCACAAGTGCATGCATGCCCAAGATCCCAAGAGGGGAGTGGCAGAGAAGGGATTGTGTCTTGGTCATCCCCCCAGTGGGTGATTTCTCACTTTCCCTCTCCCTGTATCTCTGCTTTTCATCTCTCTGGCGAGTGCATACACCCTATGGCAAAAACCTAAAAAAAAATAAAATAAAATAAAAATAAATTTAAAAAACCCCAGAAAACATAACTTTCACAAGTGGTATAGGGTTGTGGGGAGAAAACTGGTTGAATTGACTAGTCTTTTCTTTTTTTAAGAATTAGTTTATTTAACTCTATTTATTATTATTTTCTAGTTTTGATCAGAGAGAGAAAGAGAGATGGAAAGTGAGAAAGCAAGCCACCAGGCCTGGGACTTGAACCACAGTTGGCCATGTAGAAGTCCAGCTCCTTTAACCATCAACGTTACCTGCGGGCCCCAAATTGACTAGTTTTGACTTGAGGTCACTCTGGGAAAAAGTAGTGCTGTCACATCTTCTGTGTGGATTTACTTTTTTCCTCTAAATAGAGCACTGAATCAGAATCTCCAGGGCCAAAATTACTTTACACGCGCAGGGACGCAGGTGTGGCCAGGCTGGAGAATCCAAGAACGTCTGACCGGTTACGTGACACAGTCACGCAGCTCAGGGCCAGGCAGGAGCCGCGCCTGTCTTCATTGATGGACCGAGCGGTGTTCGAAGCAAGAATCTCAAAGTCTCAGAATATTCTTGTCTTAGCAGTGAAAAAAGTCTTAATTTTAAAATAATATGAATTGGGACCAGCAGATGGTGTAGCCATTACATCCCTAGACTCCCGTGTAGTTGAGCACGGTTCAAGTCCTGGACACAGCGACTTAAAACTCAACTCCAGGCACATGTACATGTGTGCCCAAAATCCCGAGAGGAGAATAGAGGAGAAGGGATTGCAGCGTGGTCATCCCTTTCTTTGCTTTCTTTCTCTCTGTCTCTCTGGCAAGCGCACAGGCCCTATAACTAAAACCTCTAAATAAATAAAATGAGCAATCAAGACAATGAAAAAGTAAAGTGTTGGAACCCTGTAGGGCCACCTCCATAATGAGAAGATGGTTCCTGTCAGGGAAGGCATTCGCGTCTCACTGTACCACTGAACTGCTACTGCTGTCGGGCCTGCGCGTGCTTCTCAGGGTGCCAGAGCGCCCTGGGGCATGACGGCCAGTGTGCGTGCTCTGCGGTATTTCCCACGCTGTGCCCACTTGGTGCGATTCCCATTGCACTGAGGGACAGCGGTTCTGGCCCACAGGGCATAGTGCTGTTTCCGATATCCACACACCTGGGCAGTTGCCGGCGAGGACGACCAACTTCGCTTCACTCTGATCATCTTCAGAGTCTGCGTGGACCCCAGCACGCACTTCCCACTTTTTATAGCAAGTTGGACCCGAGAGTGGATTGACTCCAGTGACTTTTTGGTCTTTTTGCTGCCTCCACCTGCCCGCCTTAGGTGCAGAACTGCCCCCAACCACAAGCAGCTGCCAAGATGCCCAGGGAGCACGAAAGCGCCCTCCCTTCTAACACGTTTAATGCTCTGGCAGCCCAGGGACGAAATGCTGCTGAGGTCGTCTTTCTGTGCAGACTTACGCAGCTGCGCCCTAACCTACACTCACACAGACACGTGCATGCGTAGCTCCAACTCTCACTGTCCGCCCTGCTCTGTGACTCTCGGAGAACTCAGAAGTCGGTCTTCAGAGTAGAAGGGCTACTGCAAATCTATTGTAAAGGAGAGAGTTGTTTACGTTGGGAAGATGTGGCAGCTACAGAAACTGGGTAAAACAGATGTTTGGTTATTTACTGCACGTCATACAGTAAAAGAAATTGTAGGTAGATACAAACTGAATACAAATAGACATTTAAAAACCTGCTTGGCGCTGGCCAGTGCGTGGTGGTGAAGATGGCTGCAGTAGGAGTCCTGGACCTGTGGCTTGAGGAACGACACCTGGCCCCTGTGCATGAGTGCCCAAATCTCCAAGGGAGAAGCAGACTACGGCGTGACCGGCCGTCCCCGATGGAGGGCGCTTTCCCTCTGTCCATCTCTCTGTCTCTGTCTTTCCAAGCACTTCAGTTGCCCTTTAGCAAATTAAAATCAAAAACAAAATAAAAATAAAAACTGTTTGAAGAAAAAAGTAATAGATTTCTGGAATGGATGAACTTTTAAACCTTGAAGAAGAGAAGAGCTCTCAAAGGAGAAGGCTGATAGGTGTAACTGACACTGGAAACTTCGTGGCATCCTGATGGATGAGCAAAAGCAGACCCACACAAACGAGGGGGCCGTGATCCCGAGGATGTCCGTGGGAGGGGTTGGTCCTGTGTGAAAAGGTACCTAGCACACTTTCCAAAGTGGACACAGTGTTTACCCTGGAGGGCAAAGTTGTTTTGCTTTTAGGTTTTGCCATGGGGTGCACGCATTCACCAGAGAGAGAAGCGAGAGGGGAAAGTGAGAAGTTGCCGCTCTGGGAGGATGGCTACACAGCTGTTCCTTCTCCATTCACCTCAGGATTTGGGGTTTTAGTGGTCGTTTTCCATCCACAACTTGGTATAAGCTATAACTTCTAGTTTTTTGTTTGTTGATTCATCCAAAGTATTGTCTTGCACTTTTGTTTTTCAACTTCCTCTAGGGTTCATGTGCTCGCAGAGAGAGGGAAAGTGGGAAATCACACACCTCTGCCCCAGGGAGATGGCCACACCAAAATCCCTTCTCCATTCTCCACTCAGGATTTTGGGTATCTCATGCATAATTGTCTACACATGGACTCAACATATTTTCCAAGTTCCTGGGTCTGGGGCTCAAACCATGTTGTCGACCATGTGGGATCCACTACCCTAACCACCATGCCCCTGCTGGCTCCTGGAGAAGTATTGGGTCCTCGGAAAAGTCAGGACGTAGCTTTCTGTTTTTCTGCGCAAAAATGCATCATGACTTTTTCAAGGACCCAATAGTTTTTACATGACAGAAGCGGATCTAGGAATTCCATCTATCTGTTGTCATTGGTCATCCAAACTGTGGATTTTTAACTTTTGGCAAAGTAGTGTTTGAGGCTGTGGCAATGCTAGGAATTCCTGATTTTCTTGATAATAAATTTAGTAGTCAAAGAAAACACTCCCTTTTCTTTCTCATCCGTGTTTGTGAGAGAGTGCACACGTATGCACACTTTACTTTCTTGGCAGAACGGATGAGACAAATGCTCATCTAACACGTACACGTGCCCCTTACGGGCTTGGTGCTTTTCTGTACCTGTGGTTCAGGCAAAGAGGAAAGGCGGAGATGCCGGAGCAGCAGTGAAATGCGGTGCGAGACCCTGGTGCCGGCAGCCTTCTAAGAAGGAGGAAAACCCGGTCCGCTTTCCCCGCCGTTTGCCTCATTGCCCACGTCTGGTTCCTAGGCTGACGGTCTCGGGCCTTTGCTTGGCGCTGCCTCCTGCCTGCTCTTCTGGTGGCTCTGCTGCTAATTTGCGCTGAGCCCAGAGTGGGCAGGGGACAGGAAAGGCCCCTTCTGCTCGGCTAGTCGGCTTCTCTAAGGAGCAGGTCCACGGGTTGGTCGAAGCCCTGGTACTAAGCCCAGCTGGGGTGCTGGTGGAGGTTACTACCCAGGCTGGGCGTTTCTCATCATGGGAGTTGGCCGCCTTGTCACGGGCAAATACAGATAGAAGAGGGTGCCAGGTGGGTGACTGGGGAGCGTCGACATGTGCCTACCCTCGGCCACCTCAGCAGCCAAGCAGTGGTCCTCCTCTCCCCCTCCCCTACTGTCTCTGAGGTCGAGCTGGGACCCGCCCTCCCGGGCCCCTCACGGTTCTGTGTCCTGTGCTTCCCTCCCCGAAGGCCATGAAACGGGTGCGCACGGAGCAGATTCAGATGGCAGTGTCCTGCTACCTCAAGCGCCGGCAGTACGCGGACTCCGACGGGCCCCTGAAGCAGGGGCTGAGGCTGTCCCAGACTGCCGAGGAGATGGCGGCCAATCTCACAGGTACAGCCAGGGCCTGGGGGGAGCCTGGGGCAGGAGGACACGAACTGGGGTCCGTGGGGAATCACCTCTCCACAGGGCCAGTGGGGCGGGCTGTCCCAAAACCTCAGGGAGCAGGGCCGGCAGGTGGCATGGTGGGTAAGGCGCTGGACTTCCACGTGGCCAGCTGCAGTTCAGGTCCTGGCCTGGAGGCTTGCTTTCTCACTTTGCCCCTCCCTCTCTCTCTCTTTCTCTCTCATTCTTTCATCTCTTTCTGGTCAAGTTAAAAAAACAAAACAAAACAAAACAAACCAACCTAGGGAGCACATCCTGTGCATGGTGCTGGCTCAGCCGGGTCTGTCCTAAGCCACGCCCGCACATCACTTCCCTCCTGTGGTTCCCTGGCCGATGCCGCGTGTCCTTCTCCAAACGGCTGTCTTTCTGTGAGGTTGTTCGGGGCAGGGTCTCTGTCGCCTTCTTGCACAGGTACTCGGTCACATTTATCGGACACCTGCTGCCACCAAGTGCTCAAATGTTCTGGTGAGGCCTCAGATTGGGCCGAGCTCCTCAGGGGACCGGTGTTCTACTCAGAAAGTGAGGCAGGCGGGTCAAGGATTCTGGGAAACTCTGACGTGGCAAGTTCTGTAAGCGGGGAGGTGGCCGTCTGAAGTAGGCGAGGGGCTCCCAAAAGGTCCTGTGGTCCCTGGGATGTAGTCCGCGAACAGAAGGCATGAGCTGAGTTTCAGAGGACTGAGGGCTTATTGGGACAGGTGGAGGAGGGTGTCCGAGTTACTGGGTGAACCACGCTGGTGGTCCTACTGGCTGGGACGACCCAGGCTAGAGTCAGGGGACGGGCTAGAAAGTCAGTGCGAGGCGAGGGCACTTGTTAAAGAAGTGGCGCCTGGAAAGGAGGGGAGGGGGTAGATTTCAGGGACCTGCAGGACTCGGGGTCTAGGTAAAGGCAGGGTACCTTGAGGGAGAGGGAGGAGCCCCATTCTCCCGCGTGCAGCCCCAGCAGATCCTGCTTCCTGTGTCTGAGTTTGGGGTACACACTGACGCTCCTCTCTTCCCTGCTCCCTTGTATACATCTTACTGTGGCGTCCTTAGTTCCGAGCCTTAGTTACCATTATTTTCCACTTTCTAAAGGTGCTTTTATTCAGGTTACTGCAAAGTGGTGCCCTAGATCCCAGCCACCTTGCTCAGCATGCCTTCTCCCTGTAAATAGGGTAAGGGGATTTGGGTTTTCTTTCTTAGAAAGAATAAGCTCACAGGATGGAGAGTAAGTGCACTTTCACATATTGCATGGTGAGCCTCCAGCCTCCCCCATTCAGCTGCCCAGAATGCTGCCTGCAGGCAGGCACGCATGCCCAGCAAGGGCAGTACCCCCATCCTTCCCTGAGTCTGACCTGCCAGGAGAAGACTGAGAGGCACACACGTTGGGAACCTGCCACCCAGGGCTGCCTAGGCAGTGAGCTGCACCCCCCACGCAGTGTCCGTCAGCACTGGGTACCTCCCTTCAGATAGCCAGGGACCGTCAGACCCTGGAGGAGACAGCTCGTAAGGAAGGAAGATGGAAAGAACCAGAAGAATAGCCTTGAAGTAAGATTATGCCATGTGGGGAAAGAGAACATTCAGAAAACACACAAGTTGTCAATTACATACAATGATACCAAAAATGAAAAATCAGTAGGGGGATTGGAAATTGACGAAGTCTCCCAGAAATTAGAGCAAAAAGACAGACGGAGTGGAGAGGAAGTTAATGGACCTGCTAGAAGCTGCAAACGTGACGTCGCAGGAGTCTCAGGATGGGAGGACAGGAGCGTCCAGACCGGAAGGGCCCCCCCCTTCCCAGCCCAGCAGTTGACAGTGAGCCCACACCAAGGTGCATTGTGATGCCACAGCACGGCCCGACGTTTCCCGATCAGTCTCTCGGTCTCGCCTCTCCCCTCTCACCCGACCCCTCTCCTGGGCTTTGTGTGTGCTCTCTGGGACCAAGCCCCCTCAGGAGATATGTCCGTGGGTGATGCAGACTCGGTGTCCCACCTCGCTCCTGCCGTGCACCATTAATACTCGTCTTTCCCACCCGTCTTGTGCATCTTTCCCTCTTCAGTCCAGTCGGAGTCTGGCTGTGCCAACGTTGTGTCTGCAGCCCCGTGCCAGGCAGAGCCGCAGCAGTATGAAGTGCAGTTTGGACGGCTACGGAATTTTCTCACCGGTAAGTGCCCGGGGCTGGGAACCTTTCCTTGTTAAGAAGTAGAGTAATGCACCTTTCCTAGGAACCGACTGGATTCCAGGACCACGGTAGGGACTGCATTTCAAGGTACTTTGACATAGTCCTTGCACTCAGACTTGTGGCCTGGTGGCA